GATGTCAGCTGGGATTGGCTCCAGCCCCCCGCGACCCTGTACGCAGGATAAGCGGTTGATGATGGATGGATGGAAGAAAGATTGTTTGCCAAGTAATTTATCGTTTCGTTTGTCTTGTCACCTTTTTGGCCATGCTAGCAGTGGGGTTCTAGGGATGGCATTACATTGCATGAAATTAATCAGAAAAGGTTTATAATTACAAATAAACCTATTGACCTCCTCAATGAATTCCATCTTCATGTCATTTGAATACACAAAATATGAAGCAATTATTATGTTTTGACTGTAGATATATTAAGCTTTTTGGGGTTTTTGTGCCGCAACAATGTCAGACAGTTTGTCTTTTCCTAATTTTTGGATGGACGTGACAATTCCACAGAGAATTATCACCAGACTCTGCAGCTCCCCTCAGCTTTAGGTTACTGTCTACTACATCTACAAAGCTGCGATGTAAATCACTTGCCCTGTGTTCCCCTCCAAGAAAAAAACCCCATCAGAAACCAAGATATTCATATTTTTTGGTTTGTTTATACAGCCCCCTAGATTTACATTCATTCGATGGAATATAGCGGGAGCTACGCAGGTGACAGACATGAGACTAACGAGGCAGGCAGAGAGATAGCAGGGAAGACAGAGAGAGAGACAGGCAGGCAGAGACAGCAAAGGGGAACAAAGAGGCAGGCAGACACTTGGGGCCAAGTAACCCACACAGACAGAACACAGACCAGAATAAAACACTAAGACACAAAACTAGGAGCTAAAACACAAGGAACAATCTACAGATGAAAACACATGACAGACCGGTACAAAGAGAGCTGAACAGAACCAGTAAATGAACAAGGGAATACACAAAGCTAAACAGAGAACACAAGACCAGGAGTAAACACTAAAGACATGAACTAAAGTACAGGACTAAGAACAATGACATGGAACCAAAATCAAAACACCGAGAATGCATGGCCAAAATAATATAACACAGACAAACTCAGGACAGGATCGTGACAACAAGAGCTTTGAACAACAACCCACTTTCAGTAACATGTGAAATACATTTACATTTACTCATTTGACGCTTTTATCCAAAGCGACATTTGACAAACAAATAAAAATAATCAAGAGCCATATACAACAAGGAAACACATCACCTGTCAACTTCATATAGTCAAATGATTCTTTATGCATTTTCTCGAACTGAAAGATGTTTAAACAACCCTTTAAATCATTCTGCAGAGAATTTCACAGTTTGACGCATAATGCTTCTTTAAAGTTGTCAGTGCATACTGATGCTTAAAATGAAATTTCCATCTGAGGTCCTCATCCTCTGAACTAAATGTTTGTTGATGTTCTAGCCTACTAATAATGTCTATTACTCACCTAAGCTAATTAAGTTTCAATAGTCCTGACATATTGAACAGTCTGTTGGTGTGTCCTTTTGAATCCACTTTATGAATAAATAAATAAATATAAAATAAACTTGTGGAGACTAGATTTTTTGTTCCCAAATTAGAAATGAGTATCCACAAATTGGGGTCTTGTTCTTGAAAACTACGCATGGTTTTCCAATGATGTTCTTCCGACCAACCAAATATGCTGCAACCTAGTATTGCACTGATCATGTATCATTATATTTGGGCTTGTGTGCACTTCAAGAATTCAAGAATATTTCCAATATCAAAAGGAAACTGTCACTGATGTTTTCTCTTCTGAGGCTTTACGTTAGTCACTGAGAGCTAATGTGGAGGACTTGGACCAATAATTATGCAGAAGCAATGCTACTGTTGACCTCATTGCAGTACAATCAATAACAAAGGCTGAGGAAACACAGGCACATATTTCACCATCATTCTTTTTCAGTTCAGAACATAGTTTAGGTATAAATTAGGTATGTACATTTAGTTTAGGTATAATTTAGGTATGTAAATTTAAAATAATACAGTATCTAATATAAGGATTTAAAGGATTTCAAATTCAGATATGGCGAGTATGGCAGGTTAGGCTCTAGTATTTAAGTTATGTAGCTGTGATGGAGTCCAGGGTTTTTGTCATATAATCACAATACAGTCCAACTATTTCACTCTACTTTGGGATCTCTAATGGAGGCCAATGCCCTAAAAATACCGGTAAGAAATATGATCAGACAAAGAATTACAAACAATGGTATCAGTCTCCATTAGAACTATTTCAGTATGAGGTATGTTAAATACTAAGTGACACAGAGTGAAGCTGAATGAGTCATACTGAGCCTGTAGGTCTGGTCAATAAGAGAAAAAACAATGTTTCAACCAGATTTTAACATTTTTTGGCCCAAGTCACAGAATAACTTCTCTGGGGTTTTTTGCTACATGGAAAAGGCTGCTCTTTTTCAAACCAAGCAAACATGTAGCATTGCATGTAGAAAATGCATGCAGTTTACATTTCCTCTTTGCATTGAATGAGATGTGAAAAAACACCCAGGTGCTATTTAGTAAACCAGTAGCCTACTAACTGATATTTGGGGGACGGTGCACCAAGCTGTAAACATTATAATGATGATGTGGTTAATGTGATAGCAATCAGATGGCTTTTTATACATCCTTCTCTCTTTTTAGAAATCAGTTACTCTACAGTTTTCCCCTGCTAGTTGCTTACCATGACTTTCTGCCTTTTGGTGCTTAGCAGGAATCTTACAGAAACGTTATGGGCCAGGAAATCAAAACGTTGAGCTAAAATACACTAAAAGCCTTCGTGGCACTGACGTAAACTGCAGAATTGGGTGATAATTCTCTGTGGATTTGTTACTATGAGTGACCCCCTTTTCACAACACACATAACAATTTTATACATTGTTAATATTAAAATATTGATTTGTACAGCTATTTCCAAGATGACACTTCATGTCAGAAATAATAAAGATTGTGTAAGGGCTCCCTTACAGTTTTGAGAAACCTGGGCTCCCTTACAAGTGTGAGAAACCTGGGTTCAATCCCTTTGGTGTGAGAAACCTGGGTTCAATCCCCCACAGTGACCCATCCACCATTGTGTCCCTGAGCAATACACTTAAGCCCTAGTTGCCCCAGAGGCGTGTGACCTCTGACATATATAGCAATTGTAAGTCACTTTGGATAAAAGCGTCAGCTAAATGAATAAATGTAATGTAGAGTGATGTCAGGCAAGTATGGTCTTTTCATGCTCACACAGTCCTGCTACAGGCACAAAAATCACTTTTATGTAATCCATGGTACAGCCCCTGTAATTACTGCAGTGTATGGTCAAGACCTCTAAATCATTACACTTCTTAAATACTGTAACTTTATGATCACACTTAAGATAGGGTATTGTATAGGTCTATTTATGGCAAACAACATTATTAGATCACAAGAGACTGTAACCTGCATTGTTTGTGTCACTGTGTTGGCTACTGTAATGGAAGAGAGACATTGAGAATTTACCTCCAAGTTTGCTGTAACAATGTGCTCAAACAAAACAGGAGACTTCAGTTTGAATTTATGAGAAAATTCAGATTCAAACCGTTTAGTTGAGTGAACTTGTTTTTATGCTTTTTGCGAACAAGTAGGGGAGACAGGGTATGGTTATAACACTTGTTGCTTCAGCAACTTTAACTCACTGAATGTTTTTTTGCTGGCCTCATATACAAAGTACCCACATTTTGTTTACTACAAAAGGCACTAAATCAATATCACAGACCTTGTGAGTTGATGTCAAATACATGGTATTCCTTTGTTACTACATTAGCCCATTACTGGGGTAAGTTCTAAGACATGCTGGGGTAAGGTGTAACAATTAGATAAAACAAGCAAAATGGTTGCCATATGGTATGCTTCAAAACAGGTCTATTGAAATAAAAGAACAATTTTTGTATGTAAATTTGTTTACTAGAACAAACTTATTAAAAATTATACTAACTAAACACTACTATGTACCTAATTAAAGAAAATATTTTTACATTGTTATGTCTAACAAAAAAAAACATCTGTGTGTGTCAGTGTACACACCAACATGTGAACAATCGGAAGTAGGCTGGCACCACTTCAAGCACAGGTCACAGTGCTGACAAATTAATGCTGGTAACCCTGGAGTGCAGGCTTGGTGGGCCTCAAGACTGCATAGGACAAAAAATAACAAAATAAAAAAATAAAATCAAGAAAGGCCTTATAGAGGAAGGGATTTAAGGCCTTTTAAAGAAGCTGGGGAAATGCATCACTTGTTGCCTAAGAAATGATAATTTAATCTAATATAGGCTAGGTCATACAATTTATCTGTAATAGTAGGCCATGATAAACAAAATACAGTTTTGTTCAAAAAATGTACTTTCTTACATCAAAACATTTCTTAGGGCAGTGCGGTGTTGCAGTGGTTAGCACTGTCGCCTCATGGCAAGAAGGCTGTGGATTCAAACCCAGTTTTCCCCGGCCTTTCTGTGTGGAGATTGCATATTCTCCAAAAAATGTCCTTATGTGAGTGTGTGTGGCCCTGCCATGGACTGGCACCCTGTCCAGGATGAACCGGCCTATCGACCGATGTAAACTGAGATTGGCTCCGCCCCCACGCGACCCTGCAGGCAGGATAAGCCTTTGGCGATGGATGGAAACATTTCTAAAAATTTTTTCTCCATATATTGTCAATGTGCCTGTTTCCAGCCTTGACAACAACCATGCATGATAAGGGAGGAAGCAGGTAAAATTCTTAAAATAATCCCATGACTCCTATTTTATCTGTAATTGGTAATGTTCCAACTCTCCCCATGTTACAACCATTCCCTGTCTCCCCTAAATTGTCAACAAATAAGCTTAAGACTGTCCAAAAAATTCAAGCAGATTAAGTAAGTAGAGTGCTGCTATAGGTCTGTGAGTGGAGGGAGACAGAGAGAGAGAGAGAGAGAGAGAGAGAGAGAGAGAGAGAGAGAGAGAGAGAGAGAGGTTTCTTCAGTTTCCATCTCCCTCTTTTGGCGTAGGCTAGTTCATTCCCTTCGAAATAGCTGATTGAGAAGCACACTCTTGACTCTGGTCTAATAGCAGAGCGCACACTCACACTGAGGATGCAGGAATCTCCTTCACTTTAGTCAACGGATTAGTAACCTATTGTTTTTTTCTTTCTGCTGCAGCATGAGCGCTCAGTGTAGCGCTTACTACAGCGCTGACGGTGTGTTTGTGGACGGATTCTCCTGCCCCAGACCGGGAAACGCTGTTTCTGCTGTCTACTGCTGCGGATTTAATGATGTTAAATATTGCTGTGATGATCCCAACAGTTTTTTCCCGTATGAATACGGATATATGTGGTGGTTGAGGTAATTTCCATTTGGCAAGAAGTGTTTTTGTTTGCAATCACATTCTACCAAGATCAACAGATGGGCTATTGCAGGCTCATTTCTCACTTGTTAGATAAACTCCATTGTGATTCATCTTGACACAAAATCTTTTACAAAGTTAATTATATCAGCCTCAGGACTCCTTTGTGCTTTTAGCCCCCTCATTCATTCAGGGAGAGCAGGATCATTACTATAATCAAGCGGGGCAGTTACAAAGATAGTATAGCCTATTTAATTTATGGATAAAACATTTTTTTGCATGTTTTGTTAAATCTTAACATTATGGCGAGTTGTATTTTTTAGTTTACTGCAATACAGAATATCTCCTCATACCACCCTATCTTATTGCCATCTCCTCTCCTCATCAGTCCTTTCTCCTTGTCTCCTCTCCTCTCCTCTCCTCTCCTCTCAGTATTGGTGCTCTAGTTGGTCTGTCCATTGCAGCAGTGGTCCTCCTTGCCTTCCTCATCACCGTATGTGTCCTCTGCTACCTCTTCATCGCCACCAAACCCAGTCGTCTTGACAACGGCCTACCCCTTAATGCACCATGTAAGTATGTGTGTAGGCTGTCTAAAGTATAGGCTACTATGAGAATAGGAATTAGTTTCATTCTGATTACTCTTTCTGAGAGCCTTCACTTTAGAGAAAATCTCTGCAATCAGCAGCATAGACACAAAAGTGGACAATTAACATGCCCACTTTGGTCCAACTGTCTCTGTGCTTTATAGTAGGAGATCCAAGGGAGGGAACCAGTCGTGCGAGAGCAATCTGTCCTTCAGGTCCACAGGGATTCAGAAAACACTTCATGAGCAGGAAGCTGGACTGTGATAACCAGCCGCCAGACCCTGAGCTCTTGTTCCAGAGGTGTTTCACAGCTAATGTCACCGGCGTAAAAGTGGAAAATCCCTCGTAGGCCACTGAGAGACTTCTTATTTACAAGTGGGACCAGCAGTCCAGGCCAAGAGAAACAGTGGATCTGAAGGCAGACTGCTCTGCCAAGGGGCCGCTGTGACACTGGGAGGAACAGCAGCTGACATAATGTGATGTGCACAGGAGTCGTGGTAGTTGAGTGGATAAAATAATAAGTAGTGCAAAGTTAAAAAATATGTACATTTATTTGCCAGAAGAGCTGGAAAGAGAGACGGGAAATGTGGGAGGGGAGGACATACAGCAAAGGGCCGCGGGCTGGAATCAAACCCAGGCCACTGTGGTAAGGATTTGCACATGGTGCACGTGCTCTGCCAGGTGAGTTAACTGGCATCCCAAGCAGTGCTAAATCTAACAAGCACACAAGTAAAGCTCTGAAAAGCCTTTGTGAAACTCCTCATGAGTTTCAGCACCATGCAGCAGTAATTGAGAGCATACAAATGGAAATTGATTAACCAACATCTGTTTGGAAGAGAATGTTTATAATTGGTCCCAAGAAAGACTAATTAAGGAATGTGCAATCATTAAGGGCAACTAGGGATGTAGGCTGAGTTTCGGGGCCAACTTTACATTCAGGGTGTATATTTTGATGCTGAAGATATGGCTTGTAGCAGAAAAAAGAGCTTGACATACCAAGTCAACCGCTGAGTCTTGATGGCAAGGCTGTAATTTTATACTCAGGGATTTGTGGGGAGGCTGTCCTCACCAGAAAAAATGACAGTGTTATTTGTTCAAATGCTTACAATGGCCTATGTTATGTTTTAATAAGTCAAGTCAATTTTATTTACATTGTCCAATATCATAAATCACAAATTTCCCTCAAGGGACTTTACAATCTGTACAGCATATGACACACAGAGACGTCTTGTAAGATCTGATTTCCACCTTCAAACAAGCAAGGCATGATGCGGTTATGTGGTATGCTCCTTAATCTTTCAGCTATCTGGGTGCCTTCTGTCATTTCCCATATATATTGATAGTTATTTAAATCACTACAGGCAAATGTTTGTCTTTATTTGAATCATACCACAAACAAAAACTAGCACAAACTTCTTTATTGTAAAGCAAAACTTGAAAAGTGCTGCTGTTGAAAATGCTTGACAAACTTAAAAGATTGGTTGGCGTGGTAGCATCGCCTTTCCTTCAAGCTGCTCCATGCTTTGTAGCCAGTTTTCAGTAAATGGTGGATACGTTCTTTTGGGCATCACAACCCCTGTGAAATGATTTGTCTGCTCCAATTATGGTGGAAATGTTTTTATTTATATAAAGAGAAACAAGAAATTCACCTGCCAGATGACAATTCAAGATATAATACAGTTATCAGCAGTTTGTTTTTTTAGCTTACTTTTTTTGGACATTGCACATTTGTTTCTTCTATCTTTGAATTTCATTGCATATTTTCTTATTGTGCAAATAAACGTTTCTCAAAGTATTTTCATTTATTAGTTAACAGCATTCCTTGGTGCAAGCTATTTTTCAGAACATTTTTAACAAATGCTTTCAAAAAGTGATGGGGACAAAAACATCTATTTCAGATGTGGTGGGGACATGTCCCCAGCGTCATCAGTGTAAATGACACCTATGAGCAGAGCGCTAAACCAGAACTTAGATGGCTCACTGGCAGAAATCAACACAGTGGAAAATAGAAACCCCATGCTAACTAGCGTTTAAGAGGTGTAATTGCAGAGTGATGCGGACACTAATACACAGGTGTGCGACGGTACGTGTGTTGCCAACGCCACAGGTATCGGCATCGAGGAACCTGCAGAAGTATAAATATAGGGACAGATAAAGATGCAGTAGACAAAAAATGTCCTGTGTAATGCTAGGTGCACCAGCGCGACCAAGAAAAACATTTAGTTGGGCAAAAATTGGTTACTAAATCTTAGGCTGTGTTCAGAAGGACTTGTGCATTAAAAAAACGGGATACCCCTGCGAAAGGCGGGTACACCCTGAACAGGTCGCCAGTCCATTGAAGGACAACACATATACAAACAACCTGCAGCGGGCCCTCCAGGAGCGATATTATGTCCGAGAACCACACTCGGGCCGGGTAGCCCAAAACGGGGCTACTAGCAGTAGGCTGACACCGTCCTGACGGACCCGCTCCATAACCCCCGGGAGCAGAGCGACCTCCTGCCACGTCTGCACCATGGCATCCAGCCCCAGTGGGGCTGGAGTCGAGAGGAAGAACCACAGTGGAGAGTGCGTAGTCTCTTGAGATGCAAACAGGTCCACGTCTATAGGGCCGAACCTTTCGCACAACAACTCCACCACCTGGGGGTGGGTCTCCATTCCCCAGGCCTCAGCCCCTGTCTCAACAGCAGGTTTGCTCCCTGATTCTGGGTCCCAGGGATATACGTCACTCTGAGAGACAGCAGTCTCTGCTGGGACCACAGGAGGATCTGATGTGCCAGCTTGCATAATGGACGCAGCACAGACCCCCCTGGTGATTCAAATAGGCTACCACTGCCGTGTTGTCGGTCTGACAAGGACGTGGCGACCTCGGAGAGCGGGCAGAAAACTCCTCAGAGCTCTGAAAACCAATAACATTTCCAGGCAATTTATGTGCCAAGAGAAATGATGCTCCTGCCAGGAGCCTCTCGCAAAGCGGCCGTCCATGACCGCGCCCCACACGTGAGTGAGGGGTCTGTCGAAATAATTGTCCGGCGACATGACGCCCCCAACATGGGACCCTGGGACAGGAACCAAGGTTTCCTCCATACTGACAGGGAACGAAGGCACCTGCTCCTAACCTGTATCAGACGGAACGGATTTCCCCTCGGGGAGAATCCCTTGGATTTTAACCACCACTGCAGGGCTCTCGTGCAGCAGGCCAGACGGGATTACGCTGGACGCTGCCACCATGAGACCCAGCACCCTCTGAAAGTGTTTCACAGTGATGTTGCGGCCTAGCTTCACTCTGGTCACTGAGGACAAAATGGACCCGACGCGTGCAGGCGACAGGTGGGCCCACATCGTCGTCCCACACAAAACCCTAGGAACGTAGTCCGTTGGGAGGGCGTCAGCACGCTCTCCTTCGCGTTGAGCCACAGCCCCAAACGCTGAAGGTGGGCGAGGACGACATCTCGATGCCGAACCGCTAACTCTCGAGACTGAGCCAAAATGAGCCGGTCGTCGATGTAGTTCAGTATGCCCTGGAGCCTCATCGGGGCCAGAGCTGCATCCATGCACTTGGTGAACGTGCGAGGGGAGAGTGCTAGGCCGAACGGAACCCTTTTTCCAGCAGAGAGCAAACTTCCTGTCCCAACACCTGGCTCTGCTCCGAGTGCAACGCAGTCCAGACCACCCAGCTGAATCTGGGGGGGCGGACCCGGAACTGCAGCCATCCACTAGGGTGCGCAGGACCCACGAGGAAATGTTCGCAAGGCTCCGCCACGCTTCTGCGAAATCTGCCAAGGGAAGCGGAGGTTTGGCAGGGAAAAAACGCTGACAACCCGTGGTGTGTGAGCCAGAACGCCTCCTGACTGCGGCCCCTTGGGGCAGGCAGAACGGCGCGTGCTCGCTGTCCCAAGCGTCGACACGGTGGAATAGCAGCGCCTGCTGCCTGAGCTGGGAGGGGACCTCTATCACCCTCTCTCGGGGGGTGGGGGGGCAGAGACCGCGACCAGCGCGTCGAGCAAGAAGGTCTTCTCCCTCTCCTGGATGCCCGCCAGGTTGAGCCACAGGTGCCGCTCCGTGGCCACCAGCGCTGACATGGAGCAGCCAATGGCGCGGGCCGTCTCCTTTGTGACTCGGAGTGACAGATCCGTAGCTCTGCGGAGCTCAGCGATGTCCTCCTCAGAGGGGCCCCCTCCCGAGTCCATGTCCTTCAGCAGGTTGGCCTGGTATGCCTGCAAAACCGCCATCATGTGCAGGCTCGCACCAGCATGGCCCGCCGCCATGTACGCCTTGCCCACCAGAGCAGATGTCAGATGCTCTTTAAGGGACGACGCAAGACCGGGTGAGAGATAGCTGGCCAAAGCATCCTCAACCCGGGGCATTGTCCCATAGCCGAAACCCTTAACCCCCGTGACGTCGCTGTAAACCCGGAGCGAGGGAGTAGTCAGACGTGCTGAGAGGGGCTTGCCCCAGGAAGATCTTTGAATTTCATTGCATATTTTCTTATTGTGCAAATAAACCTTTCTCAAAGTATTTTCATTTATTAGTTAACAGCATTCCTTGGTGCAAGCTATTTTTCTGAACATTTTTAACAAATCTGCCAAGCTTGGCAAGCCTGATCAAGCAAGCATGGCAGTTGTTTCAATGCATTTAGGGGCGTGGTCCTGGTCAAGACAATCTCCTGAACTCCAAACTGAATGTCAGAATGGGAAAGAAAGGTGATTTAAGCTATTTTGAGCGTGGCATGGTTGTTGGTACCAGACGGGCCGGTCTGAGTATTTCACAATCTGCTCAGTTACTGGGATTTTCACGCACAACCATTTCTAGGGTTTACAAAGAATGGTGTGAAAAGGGAAAAACATCCAGTATGCAGCAGTCCTGTGGGCGAAAATGCCTTGTTGATGCTAGAGGTCAGAGGAGAATGGGCCAACTGATTCAAGCTGATAGAAGAGCAACTTTGACTGAAATAACCACTCGTTACAACGAGGTATGCAGCAAAGCATTTGTGAAGCCACAACACGCACAACCTTGAGGCGGATGGGCTACAACAGCAGAAGACCCCACCGGGTACCACTCATCTCCACTACAAATAGGAAAAAGAGGCTACAATTTGCAAGAGCTCACCAAAATTTTACAGTTGAAGACTGGAAAAATGTTGCCTGGTCTTATGAGTCTTGATTTCTGTTGAGACATTCAGATGGTAGAGTCAGAATTTGGCGTAAACAGAATGAGAACATGGATCCATCATGCCTTGTTACCACTGTGCAGGCTGGTGGTGGTGGTGTAATGGTGTCGGGATGTTTTCTTGGCACACTTTAGGCCCCTTAGTGCCAATTGGGCATCGTTTAAATGCCACGGCCTACCTGAGCATTGTTTCTGACCATGTCCATCCCTTTATGGCCACCATGTACCCATCCTCTGATGGCTACTTCCAGCAGGATAATGCACCATGTCACAAAGCTCGAATCATTTCAAATTGGTTTCTTGAACATGACAATGAGTTCACTGTACTAAAATGGCTCCCACAGTCACCAGATCTCAACCCAACAGAGCATCTTTGGGATGTGGTGGAACGGGACCTTCGTGCCCTGGATGTGCATCCCACAAATCTCCATCAACTGCAAGATGCTATCCTATCAATATGGGCCAACATTTCTAAAGAATGCTTTCAGCACCTTGTTGAATCAATGCCATGTAGAATTAAGGCAGTTCTGAAGGCGAAAGGGGGTCAAACACAGTATTAGTATGGTGTTCCTAATAATCCTTTAGGTGAGTGTATATTTTTCATTACTCACATGCTGATATATGTGCAGTTTGTCTTTCTCAGTTACATACATCAAGTGATCATTAAGTTACAGTATTTTAAGAACAAAAGTCCTTCTTTCTGTTTCTACACACAATGTTTCCTTGCTGAACTGCTGAACTGATTGTAGAGAAGAGAGAATTTGGTACTTAAAAGACTAACTTTGGAAGATCTTGATTTGTCTAACTCAGTGCTTATACATTAGGGCATGTTGAGTATTGTTGTACTACAGACTTCGACAAACTTGTTATCTGTCTTATCAAATTTACAGTACATTTGGATTACTATTTCACATCAAAACACATTCCATAGGAAATGACAGTAGGAAACTGCATTACTTGGACCCGCTAACCTATGCTCTATATCTGCTGGACAGTCAATTCCTTCTCAAAACATTCAAGTGGCCTTGTTTTTGTAAGTCAAAATGGTAGCTAAATTATTTCTAAATTCATGCACAATGTCATCTCTTGTATTTGTGATACAGTTCCGCTTATGTGATTGTGGAAACTGACCTCAATTTCTAATGTCAACACTGCCAACAACTATCACAATTGTGCCAAAATGTACTTTAAAGTACATAAAGTGTCTCATTAACAGTATGTTCATAAATGTATGTACACTTTATAAAATGTTGCAAACTATCAGCTGCTAGCATATTTGTCAAATGTTTTATCAGAAGTTTCTGTTGTATGCCTTATGTTGATAGATTGAAGTTCTCGTTTGTAAATGTCAGCACAAAATGTTGTGCACATGTAATCTACTGTAGTATACATTTAAAAAAAAACAAGACAGATGGTTTGAATTTATTTTAATGTCCCTACGTTTGATGGCAGTGTATTTTCAAATGCACTCCATGAATGCACACAGTGATTTATTCACACAGTTCTTGAAAGAGCATCAGTAAAGTCTGAATCAAAAGACGGAACCTGATTATTATGCGGTGATGCATCTGTTTCACTGATAGATTGAAGTGGCCAGACCCCATGTGGTGGAAAAGCAACAAACAAGTTACAGCTCATGCCATTTACATTGTGATATTTTCTACAGGATTTTGATGCACCTATGCTCAGATATGTTATCTACAAAAGAATATCAGCATGGAAACTGATTTTGACTATTAAATCCTAAAAATAAAACAATTATGACTAGTAATAATAATAATAATTTATAAATTAGAAGTTGCTTTTATCCAAATAGACTTGCAATTGCTATATATGTCAGAGGTTACACGCCGCTGAAACTGTCTCTCACACCAAAGGCATGTGTCTTATCCACCCCTATTATCAATGATCAGTTGTGGTCATTAGAGCAGCAGGTGTTACCAGCAGTATTATGGAAAGAATTATTCTCCTTTGGGATTTTCTTCTGGTTTAGCTTAAGGAGTCTTGGTATCAGCATTGCCACTGAGCTGACATTTGTTATGTTAAACACATCCAAGTGAGTGACTCTGATGATGCAATCTTTCCCCATCTCATCTCTTCCTTTTGTTTTAAAGCCATTGTGTCATTTAAGAGAAAAATATTAGATGGGTCAGTGAGACTTCAAGTCAGACAGTTCAGATTTGGCACTGAATTTGGTTTCGTAATCTTTCTCTGTAGACAGGCTTTTCTGAAATGTATGGGGTAAGAAGATTCACTGAAAGGATGACAGTGACAACAAAACTGCTTTGATCATTGTAAAAAGCATTAGTAAAGCCTTTTCTTCTTTTCTTGGGTTAAGATACAGGGTTTAATACAGATCCATCCATAACATGAATAATCCAATGCCATCTCCCTCAGTGACCAGTTTTATTACACTGCAGGCATACTTAAGCTCCAAAGACATTTTGCTTAGCTCTAGGTCAATGAGCATAATGAGAAAAGTAATAATGGATTCAGATAGGATGAGTCATCTTTCTCAATCTAACTGCATGCTAATCTGCACATTCAGTAAGAACTGTCTTCCCGGAATAGAGTACAACTTGACTTGTAGATCCTCCCTTGATCTTCTTTGTGCTTCAAACTACGTGTCAATGTCTACATATTGATAAGATAGGTTAATGCATTAGAGCGGTGATAAGAACTAACTGTTAAATAGAAATGGCCAAATGCAAAATGTGCACAGATATTTGTCATGATGGCAGGACTGGGAGACCAATCAACCTGATTTGGTGCTGGATTATACCCAATGTGAGCTCGAAAAAACTGTTCATAATTACACAAATTTGATTTGATTGGTCTCTTCAGGATTGAAAGCCAGGAGTAAAACATGCAGACACAGTTATCCATTTCAATAATTAGTCAATTAATTTGTGACACCAATGATGTAATTAGACTCTAATAAGATAAGAAGATATACATAGACCTATATGATAATACGCCTCGTCCCCCACACTGAACTTTAACAAAGCCACATCAATACCTCCGCTCACAACAGGAAACATGACCCCCTGGAACGCCCCCACCCACCTGTCTGTTTCCTGCAGCCAGTTGAAAAGACAGCTAGAGAAACTGTACCAGAGCTAAGCTGCAGAGCTTGACAGTATCAGCCCCAGTGTCCTGAAGGCCTGCGCAGACCAGCAGTGCAGGATCCTACACCCCCTCTTCAATCTTAGCTTGAGCCAGGAGAAAGTTCCAGTGTTATGGAAGACATCCTGCCTTGTTCTGGTACTAAATAAGTCCTCTCCATCTGCCCATTAACATCCCACATAATGAGAGTCTTGGAGAGACTGGTCTTGGCTCATCTAAGCCCTCTGGTTATCACCCCTCTAGACCCACTGCAGTTCCGTGAGGTGGGTGTCTAGGATGGCATCATCTACCTGCTTCTTTGAGCCCACTCTCATTTGGACAAGGCTGTTAACACTGTGAGGATCATGTTCTTGTATTTCTCCAGTGCCTTTAACACAATCCTGCCTATACTACTGCGGGAGAAGCTCCAAAAGACCCTCCTGGGTTACTGACTACCTGAGGGACAGATCACAGACTGAGGGGATGTGTGTCTGAGCAGGTGGTTAGCAGCACAGGAGCACTGCAGGTAATTGTACTCTCACCTTTTGTCTTTACACTATATACTTTAGATTTCCAGTACAACTCTGAGTGCTGTCATTTGCAGAAATGCTCAGATGACTCTGCCATTGTGGGGCGTGTCAGTGGTGGAGGTGAGACTGATCACAAAGAGCTGGTGGATTGTTTTGAGAAGATGTTGCACATTTTTCACCAGTCTGTGTTGCAAGTTCAATTGTCTTTGCAGTCATCTGTTGGGGGCAGCAGCACCAGAGCCAGTGACACAAAGAAGCTGAGCAAGCTGATTAAGAGGGCTGGCTCTGCGCTGGGGACTGCCCTCGAGCCTCTCCAGTTGGTTGTGGAGACAATAATGTTGCACAAACTGCTCAGAATTATGGATAACACTTCACATCCTCTGCATGAACTACTCATAAGACAACAAAGTCTCTTCAGTCGGAGACTATATACTTCAGCTCCACAGTAATAATGACCACTACAGGAAGTCTTTCCTGCCCATTGCAATTAAAACAAGCTGTGGCAGGGAGAGGTTTATTTGTATCTGAATGAGAATGCACATTCTCATTTGCACAGATATAGTTGGAGGGACATACCTTAAAGCCTATTCTGTCAATTAATTGATCAATCTTTGATTGTGATAAACTGGCGCGTGCATATTTGTTTTAAGAAAAACAATTAATACTGGATATATGAATGGGTTCTTTTTTACAAGGAATAGATTAAATTTGACAGGGTGACAAATTGAGTGTTAATGCATTATACAAAATTGAAGAAACATTGACATCAAAAGTTTCCCTGCTGTTCTTACATCTGATTAAGTAAATAAAACTGGGAACCAAGGGACTGTATGCAAATTATTAGAAACAGAGGGGAGGTAAGAAAAGGGTGGATGGTTATATAGTTTTTCATTTTCGCAGATGGGAGGGTAGTCTTAGAAGGGTCTTTACTATTTAACATCCCAAATTACAGCATTACCTTACAGGATTGGTTAAAAAAATGAATCAAACAGTTTAAAAAATGATGGTTCTAGTGTACACGATGGGTCTTAAGGAATGCTTCCCCATATGCAGGGCAAACAACCCTGTCTCTGTTTCAGAGAATTCTCTTTTTTGCATTATTTCTGTCAAACATTATTTTCTCCTTCACTTTTTTCTGCATTATAACAAAAAAGCTAAAGAATTCAAACACGTCTTTTTAAGTTTGCCTATAATATAATTCGAAGTTCAGCCTTTTGTAATGTTTGCCATACATTAGCAATGGCCAATTCCACATTAACTTGCACATTGTATTGTGAGAGTTATTTTCTCATAAATATGTTAGGTTTTAAATTAGATTTCACCATCTTGAATTCTGTCACGCTTGTCATGTCATGCAAATTTAGTTCAGTCCCTAAATGAAAGTGTATTCTGGTCAGAGCTGATTAAAAAGAAAAATGTTCCACATTTGAGATGAAAGCACTTCACGCCCAAGGCTGATATAACATAAGAAACCAGAGCCAATTAAAGATATTATTGTGCGCTTTGAGTATGTCACTTTGAAGTTAGTTTTCTCACACAAAAAATGTCTTTTAGGATCTTTGTGGTTGAAGGAGCTAGTTCATGTATCATTATCATTTTAAATGTATTTAAGGACAGTCGGTTAAGAAGTAAATTCTGATTCTGAGAGTTCTGAAGGCTCATATCCCAAGTTTCCTCTTTAAAAAGGAGTCCTGGTGAACCTTTTTGAAGTGGGCCTCTATTCCTAGTGGTAAAAAGTACAGGGTGTATAATGAGGTGTCTCTGGGTCAATTGTCAGAATTCTCTCAAGACTTGAAGCTCTTCTAAAGACACATTAATTCCTCTTTCTGCCCTCCTTTCAGCATGGCTTTTTAGAAACCTGATGAATTAATGGAAAGTAGATCAAGAAGGGGGAAAAAATGATTTATATGAGAAAAAAATCCCCTGAAGCAATGTAATGCTACAGTTGTTACCTCATTAATCTCCTGTAAACCCCCCAGACAAATTGTAAATTGACATAGACTCTGTGGAAAGCTTTTGTTTCACACATGTCTTATATGATTACAGTGCCACTATCTGGCCTCAGAGCCAGATGCAACAATTGTCACAATTCATCCAAAGGCATTATTTGTCCCTGTCACTGAATTCAATTACATCCAATGATTGATTATTTACTTCTATTTATTACAGAAAGAGTAAATTGATACTGAATGCTGTTGAATGAAAATAAAAACTTGTCTACATGCACTCCCGACTGGAATAATGAGTTAAAAATGAATCAGGAGGAGAAATAGATGACACACCTAATGAAGTTATTCATTAACATCTCTGTCTTGAGGGCAATGTGCAGGAACAGTGACATTATGGCCTGCAACCTTTGGCCAGCAAGTCTCTTTATTTCAGAAAGAGCTGAAGAGGAAGACAAAAACAGCCGTTGAAAATCAGATCTAGGAGACTTTCACCTGCTCCGTCAATTATCCTATTTTGAACAGGTAAGTAAATTTAGATATTTTTCATTCGCGTGTTCTTGTTGTAGATTGTAGTGTAAATTGCCAATGGATTTACTATGTGTTCTTTGGTGTTATATGTTAGACAGTAGTGAGTCTGTTGTAGTCATATGACTAGTGTTTATCAGAGACACAGCTACTGTGTGCTGGCCCACATAGGTGCATTTTACACATATTAACTCTGTACTGCTGCCTCAAACTCATTATCTTCAGACAGAATCTGCAGTGCGGATACACTGTATACCTGCTCTCTAGATTAAAAATTGTTATCTGTATAACAGATTTGTGTTTATACTATGTTTAAAGTTAATTAGTAAGCAATTCCAGAATATAATCATGAATGTTGCTCAAGACTTGGCAAGTCAACCGCCTAACATCACGTCACAGTGTGTGTGGATAGAGAGGACTACTGTATCTAATCAAGAAAGTTTTAAGGATATTTTGATTCAGTTCAAATTGTTTTTTAACAAGTCCTTTGTAGTGGTTGAAGGCATCTGTTGATTGTGTACTGTAAGTGTAATTTGAAATAAAAGATACCATCAGCCATTGTTGTTGTTGGAGGAGGTTTTATCGCTGACATTTTTGGGGTTATGATTCCTCCAAACCAAAGGGGTGCATTCTTTGATGAAAATGATGCCAATGATGGTGATTATTATGATTCTAATAATTTGTGTACCCAGTTTTCTATTTACTGAATCAGATGTAAGAATAGCAGTGAAGCTTTCGATGTAAATGTTTCTTTAATTGTGCATAACGCATCAATACTCAATTTGCCAGCCCATCAAATGTAATGTATTCCATGTACAATAAACAGTAAATTTTAACTTTAAGTCATTCATGCCTTATTAATAGTTTTTCTTGAAACAAATAATTATCTGCCAGTGTGTCACGATCATCTGGTTAGTTTCAAATGCATTTGATCCCATAATCTTATCATATCTTATTAGAGTCTTATTTGAAAGACCTTCTTTAAACAGATGAAACTATTTTGAAATAATGCTGATCACGTTAGTGGTGTCAAGAATTAAATGACTAATTATAGACAGGGATAACTGCCGAAAGCACATCTGTCCAATTAAATCCTTACCATGCTTTGAACATTCAGGTAATGTTAGCCCTTTAAATCTCTGAATTGGTTAATAGTTTGTTGGCCATGAAATATAAAACATGAAGTATGTCATTGTCAGTGCAGGCCTTAGGATGTCTAATCAGCCACACATTAAAAGATGGAATCCCAATTTTTTGTCTTAAAACAACACTGACAATCCCACATGTACAGGGAGTCACTGGTTGCTGTAATTGTTCTGGCTCTCCGCATTGGCTGCGAAAATGTCCCTTTTAAATGCAATATAAAAATGGGGTGCAAAGTGCATTCTAAAGTTCAACACCCTCTCATGATCCTCAGTAGATGTAATCAATTGATGATTTGACTTTTTTAGGTTTTCCCCCAGGACACAGAGATGGGCCAGTGGAGCAATAGCCTCTTTGCGGTGTTATTTCTTTGTGGAGCTTTTATGAGAGAAGCACATCCGGCTACTGTATCTGATGTTGGGGGACACAGAGGTGCTCAGAGACATCTTCTAATGGAACAAGATAATAGCACCAACAGAAACATTACTGAATTTCAAAGTAAGTAACAAAAGACACACACAGTATTTTACCACTGTCTAACTATTTACAACCAGGTGTGTTTAAGGAACTTTGAACTCTATGACACTTAAACAATTTGAATGCACTGGTGTTGACCTATTTAATCTTTATAGTTACATGTAGATGCAATAAATGTTATTCCTGCTCTCTACGCAGGGACATCCGATTTGAATAAGGAATCCAAGCCTGTGGAGTGGTCCTATCTGGCTGCAGGACTGGGCACAGTCCTCACTGTTTCTCTCCTCATCGTGATGGCTGTCAAGTTTCGCCTCTTCCATCGCTTCTTAGCCAGCTACAGACACTCCCTGCTCCAAGAGGCTGACGGGGTCAGCCAGTATGGCCAGGAGGAGGCGTCCTATCCTAACAGTGTGTTGGGTAGAATGGGAGGAATTGGAGGGACTCCGAGAGGACTGGATGATGATGATGATGGCTTCATTGAGGATAACTATATCCAGACCAGTGAGAAAGACAGGGCAGAGAGAGAAAGAAAGGGGGGGGAGGAGGAGGTGGAGGAGGGGGAGGAAGGGATAGAAGACAGCGATGATGACCTTGAGTTCACTATAGCGTGATTAGATAAAGGGAGACTTCATCAAAAACAGCTGGTTTACAACAAAAAATAAATGACACTGTAGAGAACTTGATTGACAGTTGAACAGAACCTTTCTGGCTTGTGCCCCCTTTAAATGAATCAGTCTGGAACCTCTTGTCACGCCTTGCATATGTCTATGAACTGTGAAAGTTTCCACCAGAGTGAAAGTTCCCATCAAAAAGGATCATAATATTGTCTTATTTAAACAATTATTTAAATTATTAAATTGTCTTATTTAAACAATTGTTTATTTAAACAATTGTTTAAATAAGACATATTGTCCAATATAGTTTTGCTGGGCAAAACTACAGATATCACAAGAAAAGAAACAACGTTTAAAGAAAGAAAACTATTTTTTCCTTTTTTCCTGTTCCAATGAATCTTTGCAGCCAAGATTATCCTGTGACCCCTTGGAGGGGTCCAGACCAATAGCTTTGGAACTGCTGAAGTGCACAGTAGTCAAAACCTCTAGAAGCTGAAATAATGACTGGACTTGTGTCCAACATGAGCATATTTAAATAGTATGATGCAATGTAAGTAGCTGGGATTGGCTCCCCCGCGACCCTGTACGCAGGAGAAGCGTTTGATGATGGATACAATGAAAGTAATAATGAAAGTTAATTGATTTCTTTGAAAAATGTTACTGCTTGTCGTGGAGTTCATTTGAGTACAGTATGGTAGTTCACATCTCATCATATACGTAGGCTGGGTGCACAAAGGCAGATTCAGCAAACTTTGTTAGACTGAAACATGTAACGTTCTTTAAACAAATGACCGACGTGACTAAAGAAAGGTATAGACGTTCAAAGCTGGCAACAACTTGCTGACGTCACATTTGACAATATATTATATATATAAAGCTGAAATCTTTTTTTAATTTTTTAATGAATATGTGTATATCCATCTGCAAGTTTTTGGAAGTTGCTTTTCATACCCTGCAAATGAGCTATTAGCCTGTCAATCAAGTTACAAGGTTGGTTGATTATATTTTGGCTCTGAACCAACAAGAAAAAGGTGAAACAACTTGATACATCATCACCTTTGTATTAGTCTGAATGTGCAGAAAGGTATGGATTTCAGTGTAAACGTATCTGATGTGTGTGAGAGGCATGATGTAAGATATAAAAGAGTATTTTGATGCATTTGTTTGTAAAGTGCAAAAACAAAAATGAATTCTTTCTAATTCCAATTTCATATGCATTCATTCTTTCATTCACCTTTCCAACCTTGACCTTTGAGTCAGTGGTAGAGAACAGAAATATTATCAACACTGAAAATATACGCAACACAGTTATTAAAAAGTTTTGTTTTGATGTCAACACTTACTGAGTCTTCACTTTCAACCATAACTACTCAGATGTATCAAAATGGTGCATTCAGATTATTGAGCCATTTTTGAAAGAACGTGTTGCAACATTCTATTGTTCAGTTGCACATTATTTGCAGATATTCTTTTGATGATGATCATAGACATAGTGTTATTTTAATGGTAACAAAAGACTGGACATGTGCCCCAACCACTGTGAAGTCCAAGATTAAATCTACCTAAATTCATCTCTTTGTAAATTTGTTCTGCTTATTGTACATCTGCTAGACAGAGTTCATCTAATCTTTCATTTCACAGACTCTTTGATCCTTTTTCTCTGAGACATTCTGCCAATTTAGTCCTTTCAGATCAGGCTTGTCCTGCTGGAGGATGTCTCTCTCCTGGGCTGGCTCATCTGTCCTCCTGAGACCCTGACAGCTCGACTCCGCAGCCTCCTTGGTCTGCTCATTCTCATCATCATCCTCCTCCTCTGTTCTCGTCTTCCTTTAAGGTAGATGAGCACACTGTAGACCACTACAGCCAGAGCCATGCCTGCCCCTGCAGCCATCAGCACCAGACTAGACAATAACATTTCCTTGCTGTCATAATCTTGGCTGCCGATTGTGGCCACACAGAGAAGCACCGTCCCACAGAGCATCACTGCCAGCCCGACAGCAAAGATCAGTGCCGGGTCAGCCCTGCCGCCGCTCTTCAGCTGGTTGATCCGACGTCGACTGCGCACACAGTTCATGTCCTGGATGGCAGAGCTAAGAAGCTGCTTGAGCAGAACAGCCAGGGCTAAGAGGCAGAGCGTAGTGCCCACCCCAAGGCGCCACTCCCCAGAGAGGCTGGTGGAGGTGGAGAGGAGCCCCACGCCACCCAGGCCCAGCCCCAGTATGAGGGCTACCGAGGCACAGTAGCACAACAGGGATTGGCGTGGCTCTCTGAACCACCACAGCTCCACTTGATCTTCCAGGACACGCCTCCGCATCAGGGTGGGTTCCAGGTAGAGACCTGGGGTGTGACGAATGGTGTGGTGGGGCTGGTAGAGGGTCTGCATCTCAGGCATGACAATGGGCAGTGGCTACACCTCAGCAGGCCCAAAACCAGACTGACACCTTGTATAAAGATTATGCAGAATTTGGGTGGATGATTAAAATACAACCTTATAAGAGGATTCAAACTAATCTTGACAAATAGTATTTCACAGTCACGGTTTTCTATTATTTGCCACAACTATGCTAACTCAACTTCTTTGAAAACAGTTACTCACTTGGTGTCTGTCCATGTGTATCCCATCAGACATCCTGAGTCAATGCATTACAATTGTTAGTTTGGAAGTTGTTTGGTCTTGTTGTTTCATTTTGTAGAAGAGATGTTGTTTCACGTAAAAATATTCCAACTTCAAGGAAATTTCCTTTCATGCAAAATGTGAAAGTGGCTTTCAGGGATGAACCTCTTCTCAGTGTAGATGGTAGAAGATCCTGACTTCACGCTGGAGGCAGAAAGACAGCATAGACCCAACCATAAAGAAGCAGAGACTTCCACTGTGTAATACTCACTGTAGTGAGAGAAGTAGTGTTGTTGACATCTTGGCAGGGTATTGTGTGTGCATATAGCTCGTCCACATGTCTGCTCATGATCACCACAGTGACTGTGCTAGCGTCACAGATTGATAAGCTGTGCCCTCTTCACATTCTCTACCCCAGTGCCAGGCAGAACAGAGGACCCCCCCCTCACCTCCTCCTTCTCTCATCCCACGGGAAAACCATCTTGTCTGGTTAAGTGGGAAAAAGACCAGTCACAATAGCAGTGTTGGATCATGGCTTGGACAGAGATTGGCGACATTGTCCACCAGGCCTCCACACAGACAATGGGCTGACCGGTGAACAGAATGACTGTGCTGCAGGAGGCGGGCAGTGTTGTGTGTGAGCGTTGCTGTTGTGGAGGGCTGAGTGATGTCAGTGTGTACTGATAATGGTGTTTCTGTGATCCCAAAGATAGCGTCATTCACACTGAGCCTCTTAGATAGACCACAGTGAATGTTGCCTCTCCTCTGTGAGATGCTCACTGACATGGGCCTGCTGAACTGTCTCTTCCAGGAATACACCTAGCTGAAAATATTTCTTCAAAACAATTCGCCTTGAATTTAAAGGATTACTTTGACATCTAGGGAAATATACTTTTTGCTTTCTGATGGAGAATTACAGGCGAAGATTGCTAAAGACAGGAGACAGTTAGCTTAGCTCAGCATAAAGGTTGAAAGCTTATCTTATTAGTTTATAACTGACAAATTGTGGTACTGCAGGTGGTTATGTGACAAGTAAGAGCTGAGATACTGCACTTGTTAATTAGTGAGCTTTAGAAGCACCGCTGTGCAGTACTTGTGATGGGAGGTATCGGTTGCGGGTACAGAGATGCCAATCAGCTCCATATTTAACAGATAGATATACAAGTGGTATCAATCTTCTTGTCTAACTTTTCCAAAGAAACAAAAGCATCAACAAAATGCCAAATTGTTCCTTTAATAACCAAACAAATGTTAACCTGCATGCTATATTTACATTTCTTCCCTGAGAATAATAACATCTGAGAAGCCAGTACACTTTTTTTGGCTTTGGTTTGAAGCTAATCCATCTTCTTAGAGAGGCACAACTGTAGCTGTCCAACAGACGTTTCTTACAGTGCTGTAACTGATATAAGTACAGTAATAATGACTGCATTCCATTTTGTTGTTGCAGTGCCTTGCTACCATAGGTGCCAGCAGGATTGTACAACTAAATGGAATAGAGCCATTGTTATTGTTATAGGTTACTTGCAGTAAGGTCTGACTGACAGATAAAGTACATGTTCATTGTATGTTTAACTACACATGTTTTCCTGTCGGCATAACATTTACATTTATAATACACAAATTATTTTTGTTGAGTCTTCAGACTGAAAGGATTTTGAGACGATGTAAATGAAACATGTGGCCACCATGGCTTACAGTATTATTTGGGGGAGAGGTGAACACATCTTTAACACCTAATCCTTGTGCTGAGTGTTATGAATCATCATTGTACCTAAACAAATCTATGACTTTTAGCAGTGGTGCTCCCCTCAACTGTGACTGAAATCGCCTGTCAGTTCAGCTATGATATTACGTGTGTTACTTTCCATTTAAAAGCTTACTGAAAGACGTCAAAAGCCACAACCACGGCTATTCCTGTAAATCTATAAATAGTGCATGTATTTAGCTAGCTTTGTGTTAAACTAAATGAAACAGTGCCAACCACCAACAGAGTGAACTTACTTACCACTGCATTTAATTAAATCAAGGCTGTAGATTAATAACTTACACTGCAGTGTAACTTTTACTATCATGTTTTATCCTGTTTTATTTTATATTTCACTCTTTTAATATTGCACTTTAAATTTCCTGGTTGTTGAAATATGCTATACAATTAAACTTGCATTGCCTTATTACTAAACTACTGAACAGTCAAAATCAGCACCATTAAATCACATTGTTATGAGTGTACTGGTATGTTATGTATATGTTTGCCTGGACAGGAAAAATGAACAAAGGGATTTGTAATTTCCCGTAAAAGTCTAAGAGAAGGAACAATACAGATGCAGAGCTACAAGGATGCCTCCATCTAAATCTCCTTGCGGAGGTCCAACACTGTGACAAGTTGCAGGTGACAAGTGACAGGAAATGACAATGAAAGAAAGACAGTAGAGTATCCATACTATTGTATGGTGCTGGTGGTGCCAGTGCCAGTGCCATCTATATATTTCTGAATGATTGATAAATCACTTTGCTACATCATCAAGTCCCTATTTTGCAAATACAGAATGAAAAGCCCGTGAAGGCCTCCTTACCAAAGCAGTGGGACTGGAGTTCAAAGTGCACTTTCTCCACCTAGTGGACGATATTACTAAATATGTAATTCAGCCTTTGAATCTTTGAGTCTTTAAATGTCAAATGTCAAAATATAATCTACAAAAAAAAAGATTATCTAAATTTTACTTTGTTATCTTAGTGCGAAAAGAAATTAGACAAGAGGATAACATATATGAACAAATGAGGAAAAGGATGGGTCGATAGATGGTCGGATGGATAAATGATAGATGATAGCTCTCTTACAGTGTATGTTATGTCCTTGGTATGTACAATGTGCTGATGCTGTCTCCTCTACCTGCAGTTGGCCTATCAGAGATGTTGACGAAATGGCTGCCTTTCTATCTGATTTTTATTTGTGTTACAACACATGTTATTATTTTATGATTGGAGAATGATTTCTACAGTCTACTATTTAATCGAGACAACTTCATTTGAATGTTAAAAGAATCCTCTGGGCTGACTATTTAATAACTATAATACCAATTTGTGCTTTTGTGTCATGGACATATAAGAAATATATGAATTTGTTAAATCCTGATCTTACACCCTCAAAGACATCATTTACTACAATTATGATCAGAAATAGTATTGAGTGGGTGCCGGTCTATATGGCCAATTATTTTGTCAGGATGCCTATTACTTTTATAGTTAAGAAAATATGTGAATATGAAGTCACTCACTGCGCATGTTCGCTGCCATCAGATTTAACCACAAGGTGGCAACAAACAACCATGTAACTGTGTGGTGTTAATACTGTAAAGAGACTCACATTAAAGACATCAGAAAGCAACATCAAGTAGACTCAGTTCCTATATAGGTGACTCTGGGCTTTTAGTCTTGTTTTCACCATGTCACAAAGGACTGTGTCTACTTGTTATGATTATGTTAAAGCTAAAGTAGTAGCCCAATAATTAGGCAAAATTCAACTATATTTGAAGAAATGATGACCTGTCATTTTCCTGTTGCATTATATATATATACAGGTACTGGTCATATAATTAGAATATCATCAAAAAGTTGATTTATTTCAGTAATTCCATTCAAAAAGTGAAACTTGTATAATGTATACATTCATTCCACACAGACTGATATACTTCAAGTGTTCATTCCTTTTAATTTTGATGATTATAACTGACAACTAATGAAAACCCCCAAATCAGTATCTTAGAAAATTAGAATATTGTGAAAAGGTTGAATATTGAAGACACCTGGTGCCACACTCTAATCAGCTAATTAACTCAAAACACCTGCAAAGGCCTTTAAATGGTCTCTCAGTCTAGTTCTGTAGGCTACACAATCATGGGGAAGACTGCTGACTTGACAGCTGTCCTAAAGACGACCATTGACACCATGCACAAGGAGGGCAAGACACAGAAGGTCATTGCTAAAGAGGCTGGCTGTTCACAGAGCTCTGTTTCCAAGCACATTAATAGAGAGGCGAAGGGCAGGAAAAGATGAGGTAGAAAAAAGTGTACAAGCAATAGGGATAACCGCACCCTGGAGAGGATTGTGAAACAAAACCCATTCAAAAATGTGGGGGAGATTCACAAAGAGTGGACTGCAGCTGGAGTCAGTGCTTCAAGAACCACCACGCACAGACGTATGCAAGACATTGGTTTCAGCTGTCGCATTCCTTGTGTCAAGCCACTCTTGAACAAGACACAGCGTCAGAAGCGTCTCGCCTGGGCTAAAGACAAAAAGGACTGGACTGCTGCTGAGTGGTCCAAAGTTATGTTCTCTGATGAAAGTGAATTTTGCATTTCCTTTGGAAATCAAGGTCCCAGAGTCTGGAGGAAGAGAGGAGAGGCACAGAATCCAAGTTGCTTGAAGTCCAGTGTAAAGTTTCCACAGTCAGTGATGGTTTGGGGTGCCATGTCATCTGCTGGTGTTGGTCCACTGTGTTTTCTGGGGTCCAAGGTCAACGCAGCCGTCTACCAGGAAGTTTTAGAGCACTTCATGCTTCCTGCTGCTTACCAACGTTATGGAGATGCAGATTTCATTTCAGATGCCCCAACTAAGTACTGAGTGCTGTACATGCTCATACTTTTCATGTTCATACTTTTCAGTTGGCCAACATTTCTAAAAATCCTTTTTTTGTATTGGTCTGAAGTAATATTCTAATTTTCGGGGAGATACTGAATTTGGGATTTTCATTAGTTGTCAGTTTGAATCACCACAATTAAATGAAATAAACATTTGAAATATATCCGTCCGTGTGTAATGAATGAATATAATATCCATCTTTCACTTTTTGAATGGAATTACTGAAATAAATCAACTTTTTGATGATATTCTAATTATATGACCAGCACCTGTATATATAAATCGTAAATGTACTTCTTTAAAACACAGTGCAAGACAATGCCATACATTTTGGACAAAACAATGTTGACCCCATTCATTTCAATGGGGTAGGTTTTTATAAAATATGCTGTGTTTTTTGGGGTGCAACTTGTCCTATTTATTACAATAATGCATCAACAGTAAAGTCTTCTGTGTATCTCTGTAAATGTAATCTGTAAACACGAGTTGATATTGATGCCATTGATCAACCTATAGAGGGCACTAGCCTCCAACTTCGGACAGCAGCCTGCAGGATGTCCCCACAATGGAACTGTACTGGTTAAGGTTCCTCCCACCATCCAAAGACATGCAGTCTAGGTTAATTGGTGTTTCTAAAATTGTCCTTAGGTGTGGATGTGAGTATGAATGGTTGTTTGTCTATGTGTGGCCCTGCGATGGACTGACGAGCTGTCCAGGTTGTACCCTGCCTTTTGCCCAATGTCAGCTGGGATTGGCTCCAGCCCCCCCGCGACCCTGAACGCAGGATAAGCG